GGAAAAATCCCACCCCTCTAGGTTCGCTTTGCTCACCCTATTTAATTTTTTGGCGCTTGTCAGGAACCTGTTCACAGAAGGTGCCAACTCTCCCAGATTATCCAGGAGCAGTCGAAATCTCTTGGTCTCCCGTATGGGTCACCACTCATCTATTTTGCGCAATAATTGACATTTTCGGGGGGAAATGTTTGGAATATTTGCCGATTCATTTCTGTGGTTGAGGTGGCAGAATTCTACTTTTAACAATGCTTTTAGGGTTGAAAAAGTAAAATTTGTGATGCACTTACAGTACTTCTGTTTATGTGATGCGTGATTGGTGAAAAAACCCTCTGTGATGCACGATTTAATAGAAAAATTCAGCGTGATGCGTGATTGGTACACTCCCCTTTGCCACCCTCTTTAGAATTTGTATGGGAAATTATCTTTAGGCCTAAATATACTAAAATAAACTATGAGTGTGCAAATAAACTTCACTCACCTCAACATAGGGTTGTCTCTGTGTCTTTGATGCAGCTTGGGCTCAATTTATGTCCAGTTTAGACCATTTTGTGCCTTACGAATGTTTGCGATGTCGTTGGTTAGCGTCTCCCCTCATAAACCGAAGCTTCACTTATATATAGGCCTAGGCCTAAATATAGGTATATTTAGGCCTAAAGTTAATTTCCCATACAAATTGCTATAAAGTGTTTGTTGCATTATATTTAGCCGCAACAGTCACATACTGAGCTAATGGGCTGCCTGTGTTTGAAGCAGTGTCATCAAAAATATACTGTGTTCAATATTATAATGCAAAAAGTATAATTCAAAATGTTTAAATTGCAATTTATTTGATATCAAACCTACAGAATATTTTCTGGTACATTCTACTCACCATACACCATCATAAGGCATAAAATGCTATATAAGATTTTTCATGTCATATCAGGTGGCACAAAATTTGTGTTGTACTCGTTTTTGTCTCCATGGATATATCGACTGCTTTAAGAAATACTCAATACCAAAGCTCAATCCATTTCCAACTGGTGTAATTGTCATATCAAGGGAAATAAGGGAAAACTGTTTTTATTTCCAATCAGCTTTTTAAAAAAAGCTGATAATTTGAAAATAGTTGCTATGGTCCAGAAATAACTGTATCAAGACACCTTAAATACTGGCCCAAGCAATCTTTTTACACTGCTAGATGTTATTGCAACTCATCGGTGACATTTTTAGACATGATTCACATTTGTACCCCATTTATAATTTTAACTTTAGTTAAGGTATATTTTATTGTGTAAATAGTGTCCCCAATTAGTTTTTTATGCTAAATACTATTGACACTTTTCTGGCCTTTGGAACTCTAAAGTAACCTCATGTCTTTGTTTTGTGAGAAATTTCAGTCAGATTTAAGTTCTTTTTCAACCAGTGAAATCAGGCTGAGCTGACTCTTAACGAGAGTGCCATGTTCCATTTTAACACTTTGTTATACTTATATTTGTCAATGTGTTATTTTAAGGGGGTCCTTCTTAACTACAGATTTAGAGCAGTTACTAAGGGATTGCTGAAAGCAATATTTAGAGGAAAGCTATTTTGGAGTGTTTTGCAGTGCTTATAAATGGTGAATTATATATGAGGGAACATTTGCTTTGGAAAACATGTGATTACTCTTTTGTAACTAGTGCCAGTCCCAAACTGCACATTAGAATTTTAAATTCCTAAAACTCAGAGGAAAAGAGGAAGAGTTCTGATTTTCTTATGAATCATAAATAACATACAGTAGCCTTCTGTTTAATCATACACGCAGAATTACTGTTCACACATAAAAGAGGAAAGCTATTGTAGAAAGTTAAGTACATGGACATTCTTAATCTATTGAAACTGATTTAACTTTTTGCATGTAGATTCCTTTTAAGTTTTAGGGTTTTTCTAGTGGTCAAATGTGGCCGTGATTTGAAGCTTTTGCAGGACTCTTCAATGGAACAAACCTGTGTAAAAAGTTTATCCTGAGGAGGTCTGGTTTTCAAAACCTTCCTTAGCAACAAATTCATGACCAATTGTTAGTAAATTAAGAAGGATCCCCTTTCAACATATTCATATTTTGAACAAAGCACTTAGCTTCCTCAGATCCCGTGGGCCAAAATTCACTACCTTATTTTTTCCCAAAATATATCTCACACAATCAAGGGGCTGGGTTCAAGGTCACCATTATATTATTTTGGAATTTTAAGTACCTTATTCATATATGCTTTCAAACATGGAAAGATGCAACTAAAATTAAAGCTGCTCAGGGAAGGGGGTTTGCCAAGGACTGTGCCTCTTAATTAATTTCTATTCGTAAGGCAAGGGTGAAGATCACAACAATTTTTGTGATAGTATATTATTTTTAATTCAAAGGAAACTAGATGAAAACTCAAAATATAAATTCAGTATGGTACAAACTCTAAAAATAAACAGGAATTGTTAAGGTTTGTGTACATTTAGATTACATGTAATTACTAATGACTATGCTGTGAAATTAGAGCTTAATTTTTCCAAGATACATGCTTCATAAGTGATGTGACTCCATCAGGAGAGAATCTGTGATTCGCAAGGAGAGACTTTAAGGGAGCTTAAAGACCCAGTATTGGCCATTATGCTTTGCGTGCCTCTGTTGTTGTTTTGGTTTTCGAGGGAGTGAGGCGTCTATTGTTTTCGAGTTCTATTCTGGCAACAAAAAAAAGAATCCCCAGGATTTTCAACATCACAAAAATGGCTGCCAAGAGATCGCAGCGTGCAGTGCACAATGAGCAATACTGAGTCTTTAAGAAGTTGCGTATAGAGTGGAGTCTAAAAATATTGTACTGTGACAATGTTACATAGTAACCTCCCAGTTGTTACAACTGAGTTTTTTTCAGTTAGTGCACATGGTGACAATATCTAAAGAGAACATCCTTGTTTACAATCTGCTTTAAGCTTTAATTAACCTTGGTCTCCCTTAACACTAGGATATTGATGTAGGTCTCTTTGCTGTCAGAAATATCATACTATTGAAATGTTGCTTCCGCAATTAAAAATAGAAGCTAGAATTATATACAGAATTAAATATCTATGTGATGATTATTGATCACAAAAAATTTCATTTAGACCTGTTGAGGACTTTCTTAACATGCTTCCTAAAACCAGGGTGTCAACTTGAGATCTATGCAGCCGTGCAACAAACTACACAATGACATAATGTTGATAAATTTCATATCAACAGTGATTAATTACTGATTTTTAAGAAACACATATCATAATAATGTAGGACAGAGCATATTAATGTCCCATTGTTACATCCAATATATATTTTACCACCTGTTTAATAATGATCATGAGACTGCAAGTCTATTTTAAACAGACGCAGGCATCTTATCTAATTAACGTGTTATGTGAGGCGTCAGCTGATGTATTTGGGTGTTTCAGGGATGCATTATCCATGTTGTCTTTGCCGTCATAAACAGTGTTGATCATTGTTTCGAGCGTTCAAGCAAACATTCCATGTGAATAATATTGAAGTAGTGTTGAAAATAAAAGTACATTCTAATCATTACTAAAAATGTAGCGAAGGTGTCTCGTGCCAATATTCATTCAAAAGATTGATTTAATGACTTATGTTTATATTTAACTAATTAGTCCCACAGGAAATTGGTACAGGTAATAAACAATATCAAATGTGATGCTGTATTGGAACAACAACCTTTCTATTTACAACAATCATGTTTTCCTGTATTTGAAAACAGTGAATCAGTGTAAACCCTATTTAGCGCGAGCCTTTTTGCGTTTGTAAGCCTGGGCAGATAAGGGGGGAGGAAGGGGCTCTTTGTGTTCCCTGTCTATGTATCTCCAAAAGTATTGACATCATAGTAAACAAACTTACATGGTATTTCAAGCATCCAATGTTGTTCGGTGATAATCACCTGTCAATCATTATGTCATATCAAGCATGAATGCTGTCACGTTTCAAAAGTCTGTTGTCTTGGAACTGCGATCTTAGCTTGGAACAGGTCCAGAATTGATTAATAAAAAACATCAGAAAGAATATCACAATAGTTAACAAGAATTGTAAAGTTTTTGTAATAAAATATTTCTAAATTTCAAAACAAAACAGATTATAATGCTAAAAATTAGTGACAAAAATAGAGTATGTCTACATGAAGGCATTTATAACATTAGCCTCAAAACCCTTAATTTCATTAACATTTAACCTGTTTTACTTTCTTTCCTTGTTATAGATAAGTTACTCCATTTTTCAGAGCTAGCAAAGATTGTTTTGGCAAAGAAGCAAATAATATTTATTGCACTTTAATTGTGTTGTAGGATATGTCGTTCAAGGCTCCAACGGTGAATATGCATATATGAGACCCGAAGAGAAGATTGATTTAGTACGGAAGGTGAGAGAACTTACACCAAGAGACAAACTTATTCTGGCAGGGTCAGGTTGTGAAGGTAAGAAAATAACACGTTTTAGGATTCATGCAATGTTTGTTCTTATTCTAGGGAATATTTTGACTTGTGGTTTTGGCATCAAAGGAACCTTAAATTTTGCAAATTTATCTGTCTTCATCCTCCCCATCCATTTTCTTTTATCTGTTGTTATATCTGTTAATCACATCTACTTCAGCATATTATCATTTGAAGATCATTTTGTGCTCCACAGAAACTAATTTAATTAGTGCATCATGTGACACAATGCATGTCTAGACTTGGACAGCATTTCCTAGAAGATCTTGAGAATCCACTGATATGTGGAACTGTTCTTTAAAAAATGACAATTTTTTTTTCTATTCTTGAGGCCCCATTACAGAGGAGGGGGGGGGGGGGTCTCATCTCACATCTGGTTAATTTTTGGCCGAAATATCCTGTATCCTGTTTATTCCAGTTGAAACAGTTTATGATTTTCTACCCAACATCCCATTTTATCTGATCTCAATATCCAATATCCCATTAATTCCCCTCCCACCCGGCCCCCTCAAATACCCACTATCTTGTTACTTTTTTTTACCTAAATATCCCTTATCTGGAAAACCCCTAATAGGACCTCTTCTCCTAACTAACTTTCCTTGTTTCACATACAGCTACAAGGGACACCATAGAAATGACAAATAAAATGGCTGAGGCAGGTGCTGACGCAGCACTTGTTGTGACTCCTTGTTTTTACAAGAATGGGATGACATCTGAAGCTTTGGAGAAGCACTTTACCAAGGTATATTAATTTTAACACTCGTAAGTCCAATTTATCATTCTGAAAGAATAAGAAGATTGGAAAAAGTCAATGCAAGAATAAGAAGGTCACATGAAGTACAAGCAAGACTGAAAAACAAAATCCCCCAAAAAATTGTCCACCCTCCCCAGTCAGTCATACAATCTTTATGGTGTTGCTGCAGTAATTTCATTAATTAACAAATGTATTTTTCACTAGGTTGCTGACAGTTCTCCAATTCCTGTTATCCTGTACAGTGTACCAGCAAATACTGGAATCGATTTGCCTGCAGACTGCATAATCAAATTATCTTCACACCCTAACATCATTGCACTTAAGGATAGCGGAGGGGATGTATGTAAACACCCATCATATTACAAAGATCAGAGTTAGTATCTGACTGATTCAAGCCAACGTGATTGGTTCTCTATGCAATAAGCCAATCAGAACTCGAAGAAAACCTTTTACTCTTTACCAGCTTGTAATCGGTGAAAAGCGCGGGAAAAGTCACGTGGGCCAGTTCACGGTTTTACTTTTACATCTGATTGGCCTAAAGGTTAACTTATTTGTTCTGATTGGTCAGAGGTTTTGTACGAACAGCCCCTCTCTATCCAGCGAAAAAAGGGCGAGAAGGAAAAAAATGACCGCACGAAATCCGAAGGTGATACACGCGGATAAAGAGAATCTCGTTCCCTTTTGCGTGGTGTAAAAAGATAAGTTTACGAGAAATTCTTTTTCAGGAGGTAAAAATGAAAACTTTAATATTCTTTTAAAATTCTAAGCACAGTATCAGTTTTTGTTTCCCAATAAAATTGCTTTTCTGATGATCTTTTTCCCCTATCAAATACAAGATTTATTTTAATATGTTTCTTTTTTCAGATCACCAAGATCGGTTACGTTATCCACAAGACCACTGGAAGCAATTTCCAAGTTTTAGCTGGATCAGCAAGTTTCCTGTTCGCTTCTTACTGTCTTGGTAAGTCGTCGTGCGCGGTAACAACCAAACACAACCCGAAGTACACCCGAAAGGTTTCCGAGTTAAACAAACAAACAAACAAAAAAACAATCAGAATTCTGCGCGGACCCTCACGAAAAGACGTAACTTTGTCACACGAAATTGTTTTGTTACTTAGCAAGATCTTTTGCAAATCACATGTTTGAGCAAACACTGAGCGGAACTCGCCCCCAAGTGGGAACTGAAAAACAAGCAATAAACAATGTACCTGTGGCACTTTCATTGCCCGTATGATAGCTAGAGATTCTGTGATGTGAATTGTCTAATGATGTAATTAGTACCGATACGACCTTCTGCTTTTTCACGGAAACTCTCTTTGAAGCCCCATTTTTGAGGGAGAGTGGGGTAGGGGGGTGGATTCTGAGTATCCCATGTCCCAATAATTTTTGCCTAAAAATCCCGTATACCATTAGTTCAAATTTCAAAAATAAGCAATTTTCCTTCTCGATAACTCAGGATATCAGTTCTAAATATCCCTTAATATTATCGCATTAATTTTCTCCCTAAATATCCCGAAATCCCCTGATGGGGCGTCCTTGTCATTACTGCTTTAAGGTGCCGTTGGTGGTGTGTGCGCTTTGGCGAATGTTCTGGGAAGGGAAGTTTGTAAACTCCACGAATTGCACAAACATGGCAAAATGGAAGAAGCTAAGCTTCTGCAGCACAAGTTAATTCTTCCAAACACAGCGGTGAGTGAATTGTTGTGATACATGTATTAGTTTGCTTGTTTTTTTGTATTTGAATCTCCATCGTGACTTAATCTTTTCATGTTAATTATCTTCCTGTGTGTTCGTAATTTTTCGTTCCTTACTCGATCGATCTTCGTGTACCGTCGTCGGATCGGTTTCGTGCTTGAAAATGCAGCGCTGCCGTGATCCAATCAAATTGGCAATCGTCGGTAATTTTTCGGCAATGTACTAGTGAGTAGTCGTAAGCTTTCCGTTCCCTTTTCATTGACATAAATCGTTTGACGTTATGTTCTGTTCTATATCTTCAGGTGACTAAGACATTGGGTGTTCCAGGACTGAAGAAATCCATGGAGTTTTTCGGCTACTATGGCGGACCGACAAGATCTCCACTTCTACCACTGAAAGGTCCTCAGATAGCCGAATTAAGAGACATTTTCAAACTGTTTGGAGGATACCAGGATTAAATTACCAGCTGTAAATGCGCTACCATTATCAAACTAGTCTATTTTTCTAGAGAGAAGTATCGGCATATTACTGACAACGAGTGTGAAATCTTTTATTAATATATATATGAACAAAACTGTGCAATAAAATATATGGGTCTTTAGTACCAGAAAAATCACATACCAGCACGTACTTAGTTACTCAGCGACCCACATTTTTTTGCCGAAATGCGCATGGTCTGTGATTTCCGCTGAAAGATTCACCACTTTAGAAACGAGAAGGAACCTGGGACGAGTACCGTCTCGCAGTCGCTTGTGGGATCGTCACTGGGGACAATATAGCTTCTCGTCTTTTGTTTCGTCTCGAGAAACGGTTCCACAAGCCAGTGCGAGAAGCGACTTACCTTAATTCTCTCCCTCTTTCTAAAGTGGCGAATAGGCCGTTTTATGCGGTGTATTTAGTACTAAAAGAAACGTACCGTTCTGGTGGTAGTTTTGTTTTTGTGTGTGGAGACAAAAAAAATCAGTGATGTGTTCAAGTTGATTCATTAGAGCAGTTTTCAACTGAGTGTCGTAAAACCAAAACCAAACCAATTACTTGCCTAATAGACTTCTCAGCCAATTTCAAACCGTAGTAAAACTAAAACCAAAGTAATTGCCTGATTAATTACTTTCGACACTCAATTTAAAACCACTCTACTTTCAATAAATCAACAACAATGAAACACCTTAAATTTGGTGTGGTGTGTGATTGGCAGTGAAACTTTTGTGGTTATAATTTTTGAGAGTTTTAGACCCACTAAATCGGGAGGTGAGGAATGTAATGCCTTTAATAATTTTACATTCATTATCTGCCTCAGAAACCTATAACTCGCTCAAAGGGTTAATGTGAGCAGCTGGTTCTCTCACCTACATACTTGTAGTAAAATTGATTGATGTAAAGTAAATCACAATGTAACTGAATAATGAGAGCAAAATGCTGAAGTTATTTGCGTTTTTTTGAATGAAATAAAAATTTCAAAGAGTACTTGACAACTGAGTGAGCGGGTAATCTCTTTTTCCCGACAGTGGAAATTTATGGCCCTCTTTTAAGGCGGTTCTTTGCCGATATCATTGACTAGTTTCCAATACTTCCGGTCTAAACAGAAATATGCGAACATTTTCAGAGTTGTCACAGGAGGTCCAGCAACCTTTAACAGCAACTACAGGATCTAGTTTCCAGACTGACGGACAAAGAAGGTCCTCAGTGCATTATACATATATTTTAGGGTTAGCTAAGAGAGGAATGGATTCCGAAGCTACGAGTTTTCTATCCTTTTATCGGTCCGTTTCACCTTTAAACGAAAAAGAGGCAAGGAGAAATAAGCAAAATTCTCATTCGATCATTTGATAAAACAGGTGAGGAAACAGCCAGGTCTGAAAATGGACATGGGAAATGGCGTATTTTGGTCACAAGTCATTGACCGCCTGGGGCGGATACAGGATGTTACAGAAAGGGGTTCGAGATACGGGCCGCCAAATGCTATGGGGTCCCTGTAGGTGGGTTCCTGTGGCATCCTCCCTCGGAAAAATCTTTTCCAAACATGAAGTCCTCCGAAATGGGATTTGCGCCATTCTGAGGCCAAGTCAGCGTGTTATTAATGCCTCCTTTTTTTTTTTTTAATGTAGGGATTCGACCAAAGCGCCCGAATCCCCCCTCCCCCTTTATCCGCCTCAGATCGCTATAGACCCATATTCTGAAGTATTTAGAGAGAAAAAGAAAACTATTAGCATGATTTTAAGCACTTGAAATTGCTTTCTACTTTTTGTATTTTTCTAGTCATAACGATGTAAGCTAAATGTAAGTAAATTTGCCCAGTCCAATACAAACTCTATTCTGATTGGCCAATTGTACCTATTTGCCCACTTAGCGATCTTAGCCGTGCAATAAAGCGAAATTATCAAGCACCCCTCATAATTGTCAGCGTCGGCTTTCGGTCCCAGCTAATAATACAAATTTCGGATTTTTCCGTACTGGACATTTACTTTCAACCTCGGCATGTTGCTCAGCGTCATTCATATTAGAGTTGTTTAAGCAGTTTCTTAAAGTTGAGCAAGTTTCTTTCGCGTCATGTCTCTGACTGTCTGATCTCGTTGAGGAAAATACAATAAAAATATAACCCTTTCTTTGTGATCTGATCAACAGAGTGTCATCCGGTTGGGCCAGACAAAGGACGTTCTGGAACCCATGTGCAAACAACAATTTGTAATGAGCTTCTTCTGCTAAAAACACACTAGAGTTTCTTTAAGAAGTATAATACGCTCGCCGTTGATGTCTGTAAACTTTAACAAGCGTTCACTGGCGATTTCGGTTCAGCATAATATTTAAATGATAAATTAGGTATGGACAATTATCACCTCAAATAGCAGTCAGCTCAGTTTTATTACCAAGGCAATTAGGTTCTGAGTTTACTTACACTATTTGCAAATACTTTCTATAGCCTGACAAATCACAAATGGCGTTATCCCTTTTCTCACCTATTCCAGGCACAAAATTACCAATTTAATCACGTCTCGACGGTAATGAAGGTTTTTTGTACTTCAAATGAAGATTACCTTCAATTAGCGATCAAAGAGCAAGCAAAATTGCATATTATTTGGCTAACAACATTCACATTGTTGTCATTGTTGCATCAAACTCAATGTCCACTAGCTTTTTCAGATTCGATTTCCTCTCCCAGTTTCTCTCTAAATATAATGTAGTTATTCCCGTGCCTTCTTGCTTTTATCAATACCGAGTTGGTTTCAGGTGGTCGCACAAGGTTTTTACTTTGGTAGCCTTGGGCTCACTGGTTTCTTCGCCAAATGTACACTCTTGGCTCGTTTATGAATTTCGCTTCCTCCAGATGCCAATTTTGTTGGCTTAACAACAGGCAAAGACTCCATTGATCTAGCTTTTCTTATTGGATTTGCATTGGGAACATCTAGTCTTGAGCTTCTAAGCGGTGTTAAGCACTGCTGTTTCAGAGCACTCTGAATATTCTCTATCGGTGATTTGGACGCGTCGTAATGTCCCGTATAACTGCGGCGAACCTTCTTCAAGTCATCCAAAATTTCATTACGCTGCTGTCGAATCTGGAATTTTTCTCTTTTCTCCTTCTTCGTCAGGCCTGTGAACTCTTTATGATGTCTCCAGTCTTCTACTTTAGCGTTGCCTTTTAAAGTTCTTTTATCAAGGTCCGCAGCCAATAGGGTGTGTTGGCGATCGATTTCTTGTTGCGTACGGCTATCCTGGGAGCGGATCTTCTGTCGCGCTGAATTGTGAGCCATGAAACTAAACGTCTGAATAAAACAAGTACGGCGGAATAATTAATGTTTTCCTTTGTTTCTCCAGACGGCAGCGTGGAAATTCTGTCAGGAGGTGGTGGACAGAAACGGTGCCTTTGAATTCTTGGAGCAATTAATGTGAATTGTTACCTCGTCAGTACTGGCGTGTAGTTAGATATATTACCTTCATCTGTTCCGTGCGGAAGTACATTTAAGCTTGTCTGTAATCTAATTCAAGGCAGTTATGAATTGTTTTAACATTATGTTTTATGCCCAAGTACTTTGTTTAATGACGACATTAAGTGACGTCGAGCATGCATTGTGCAGTTCCCTTGTTAGCTGGTTGCTACGGAAACTGCATGCAAATGAGAAGCAGAAAAAACTTAAATCACGTATTTAAAGTGTAATAAGTTACCCAGGAAAACCCATCAGCGACTGCATGCTTGCTAATACCTAAGAGAAGCAAGTGTTTTATGAATAAATGTCTTCTCATACAGTGCAGTTTGACACTCAGTAATCCTGCTATTGTTTCATCTTAAAATGTTGGTCACGAGAGCTTATGAGTGACCAACTGACAGAAGTAACTATATGACATTTGACACAACAGACTTTCTTGCAATTATACTTCTTGGTTTTTAATTCAGTTTCGTTCCTGGAAACATCTATCTACCGAGCCTTGATATTGTTCACGTGATGCTGGCACAAGTTTTATCGCTTGTACAACAGAGTACTTGTATCATGAATCGTGCTTTATCTCACGATCATGAATAACCCAACCAATCACAAAGATTTACAACCAGATTATGTTATCATTCGATGTATCTTTTCATCCTTTTCATTGGCCGAGAGCCTACCACGTGACCTACAACTAACTGCCTTGAAATGATGGTCTGCTCAACTGTCTAAATTTGTTTTCCTGCAAATAATATTCTACTCATACGAAGTTGTACCCACGCTCTTTTATGAAAAATGTCAGATCGCTTCTCTGAGCTGTCAGAGAGTGATTTTAAATATGAAAAAAAACTTAATGATCGAATGATAAAACAATTATTGAACTTGACCATGATTATCGCGAAACTGCTTGCCACTGACAAATCAAGATATTTTGCTAAGCCCCTTCCAATAATTGTTAATTATCAGTAGTATCCCAAGTATACGTGTTGCATTCAACGTTTTTGGTACGGTTTTCCATATCATAGATTGATCTAAATTAAATTGCATTTTTTAAAGATACTATCGAAACGATCGATGTCGAAACAACTTCGTATGTTTCTCGGTAATATTCGGTAGACTTCGGGAAACCTTCGGAAACGATCAAACGAGCGACCATAGGAGAATTTGTAATAGTATTTGAAAAACTGATCTTCGAAACTGGGAAAGCGTGCATGCAATCTGCTTTCGAGTGTTATCCATGAATATCCGAGTCGTAACTTGAGTTTCTGAATTTTCTTTGCACCCACTCACCTATTCTGGGTGAAAAAATGTCATGGTGCATCACTTCACCGGCATGTTCCGAACTGTATTTTACTATTTTATTTTTTCAAACTGAAGCCCAGGTAAAATAAGAGTGTCCTCTGACGTGTATGAAGAGATACTACTGGCCGTACAATCCTATCCTGAAAAGGCAGACCCTGTTACAGTTCCAGCAAACAAAGTCTGCATCTGGCTCTGTGGGTGCTAGTGCTGCCTTCTGTCGTCTATGCTCTCTTCTTTTCTCCCTCTGCTTCTCTCCTTTCCTCTCGCTCCTCAACACGCCTGCATGCTGTGACTGTTAAATGGTCTCCAGCTGCAGCGGCCTCCAAGCCTGTACTTCTTGGATGGCACATACGTCATGGCAGTGGAACATATAGTCGCCCGTATAATTGCCCTACCTTTAAAGTAAATGCTAACCGAAGGCAAACAGCGGTAAATAAATAAATGCTACCCCAAGCAAACAGCAGTAAACTGCGTATCAAGAAAAGCGGACTACTAAGTGATTAGTTCAGTGATGATTTTGACCTTATATGGTGAATTTTTGACAATGGCGGCAACAGCTTCAAAATGCCCTGGGGAGCTTATGAACTTTCCGATTAACATACGAGCGGGAAATTCAAATCATCGGAAAGACTGAACTTAAGACAAATTTTCCCCAGGGGAGGTGGCAGTGGAAGATTTTTCCGTTGCAAGTGGCTACCGTGGGATGCCCGGTAGGGACCATGGTTGRTCTCATTAACGGTTGATCGACAATGTTTGATTAGTTGTTGCTTGAAACTGAAGCAGAACCAAATTTTAGAGCATTCAAATTTCGCCCCATAAACAGCTTAAGATCTTAGTTTGTAACTTTATTCAAGTTTATTCAAGTTTACTGACGCGTATCAACGATGTTACCCGCTTGAAAGCGTGAACACAGTGCAAAACTGAAAAAGTTGTTTTTAACGGAATGGCCGTATGAATTCGTTAAAAACTGTGAAAATAGCTGGAGATATGAGAACTTCTTATTTTTCGCACAGCACGGTCCAAAGGACTATTAACTGTTTGCCGTTTAATCAAACACGACAGCGGTTAAAATTTCGGAAATTTTAACCGCTGTTGGGTTGATGCCACATGCCTTAAGATCGCGCGCACAAACGTCTTTGAAATGCAAGACAAACTTTTTGCGGGTCATGAGCCGGCGGCAACCTCACTTACCGCATGTCTCTCACTGAGGATTCGAACATCTTCTACTCTACACACACGGCCGAGTTAGCTTGGGATACCCGCCAACGCGTCTACCAGGACAATATTGTTTGGAACACGGTCTTGCCAAGTGATTTCCAAGAAAATTCTAAAGTAGCGCAGATGAAAGGTCTGGAATACTAGTTAGCAGATTTCCATACATTGTTCAAGAGTTGTCAATTGCAGACTCTGTGTGAGCGATATGGTTACCCTTAGAAATTATCATGGCTCTAGCAGTTACCTTAAAACAGCGCTACCTTCCAAAAGCACCCTTCAGTTTAGTTCCAAGTGCATGTCACTCTAAAGCAAGTTTGGGATCCCGGCTTTTATCATCAAATTATTATTGGTAAGTTAAGACAAAACGTGTTGGATAGTTCTAAAAAACTCTTGGAAGTGTGACCTGCGCCACCCAGATTTATTCCTCTAACAGAGCAAGGGGCCTTCGGTCAGTCGTTCCCTTGGTGTTTGTTTTCTCGTATATCTTTGACCCTTCCTCATTGTTTTGCCTGTTGAGTTTCTAAAGACCGAGTCTGGTACAAAAATGTATGTGTTACAGAAGATAATTTGATTATGACAAATCCTTGATTAGAAGAACTTAGTCATGGTTGGCGCATCTTGAAAAGTTTATCCTAAATTTTTAAAGTCCGTGTTAATTAATCTTCTCGAATCTTAACCAACCTTGTTCCTTTTTGATTTATTATCTCTTTGGTGTTTTTCTCTCTTATTAAACTACCTTTTTCAGGGTTCCTTCAATTCAAAGATAATTTTGTACATGGCCACTTCTGTGACTGAGCTCCTTTCATTGAGCAATCCTTAGAACATGCCAAGTTACCCCCACTTGCATTCCGAGGCTGGATATTTTGGAGCCAGACATAAGACGAAACCTGTGAGCCTCTAACTGTATTCAAACTTTCGACTTTTGCTTGTCACAACCCTAAGCCGGACAGTCAACACATACAAAATAGTCTTCATTTGCGCAACAAACTCGGAAGACAGCGATTTAAAAACGGGAACTTTATTTATTTTTAAGGCTAGTTTCTTTCTTTCGTGTGGCATACAGTATTTACAATGTCTGTCTGTCTTTCCTGGTCAGCATATATTACAAAATAATCTGAACATTTTTCAATACTGTAACAGTAGCAAAAATCAGAATGTACAGGGTATCTATGACGTCAGACGAAGGAAATAATGTAGATATTCTACAGTAAACGTACTTCAGAAAATGGAATTTGCGATTGTGTAAGCGATGATGCTGCAAAGTAATATGTAAACATACCAACCAAGAAATCATGTTACGACATATAAAACTAGTGGTTTTACACTTTCGCCAAAAAAATAAGATCAAAATTTATTTACCACCCTTAAGTTTTATCGCATAGTTTTTTTACAAGCTAATTTTGAGTTCATTAACTTTGTACAAACTTTTTGCTCTAAGAATACAGTAACACTAACTGCTATAAACAATAATTGAGAGTTATTAAACCACGCTATTTTAACTTTACAATAAATACAACGAGAAAATTGACGCGCTTGGGTGTGGCAGATCTTGTTTTTTCTCTTCAAAACAGCAACACCCAAGTAAAAATGCAAATTACTAATAAAACAAAGATTCTAACTGATATCACTACGTGATGCAATTCAAGCAGACCTGTTTTTCAAGGTCCCTGGACCGCAGCAGATTTGTATATTTCCACTATTGTACAATTAGAATTATTTCGTTGCTGCATTATGTAGCTAGCATTTGATGTCCAGGGGTATTACCGTGCAAAATAGCATAACACCGTGATAACCGTGTAGATGTGAACAACAAAAAATATAGGAATGATATCAATGTGATGCAAGTATTTGACATCATGAAAATAATAAATGGTTACCATAGGAAGATTCTCGTGATTTACGATCAAATTCTCCCAACTACCACTACAAATCTATGGAGACAACAAAGGAGAATCTGTATGTTCACAATGACGTTAAAAGGGTAGAAGAGAACAAAGCCATAGTTACAAGAGAGCCATGTTAAATACAAAAAAGCTTACAAGAAAATATTAAGTTTGTTTCGCAATCTTAAAATTAAGCTTACTCATAACAACTGTTATTAAGATAAAAAAAGAAACATGAATGTATCAGACTTTGTACCACAGCACAATCAGGTTAACCTGTTGCGCATTTTTTTCTTTCTTGTGCACAACACAATTCACTTGTTAGGTAAATGAAGCCCAGAGAGAAACACTGCAGGGGTGGGGATCATGTTTAAGGCAGCATTTAACGAGTCTCATTTCATGTCAGTGAAAATTTTTCCGATAAACCAGTCAGGCCTGTTTCTGATTTATCAGGAAGTACACGACCAACCAGTAAGGATCAAGTCTGTTTGTTGACTAGATCTGATTAAACACGGACTGCAACGGACTAACCAGTTTGGCTTGTGTCTGCTATATGAATAACCAGTTGAGCTTTTGTTTGGTTGTGAACTACACCTGATTAACCAGTTTGTCGCTTATGCCTCATACGTGATTAACCAGTCAGGGGTGTATTTGCTTGTGACCTGTACCAGATAAACCAGTTTGTTGACTACTTGTTTTGCAAGTTAGGTATAATTCTACGTGATGACTACAGCAACTACAGGCTATTGATTCTTTTTGAGGAGAAATACTTAGAGAAAAGTACAAAAATAAATTATACTTTATAAAGACAAAATTAGACTAAATAATTTCTACCGGCTCTTTCAAAAGATTGAACATAAACAGAAAGAACAAAAATAGTACACAGTAAGTACTGAAATACTTTAACAGCACTTTGTTGACAATGAGGGATTGAGTTTAGACAAGAGAAACAAGGCCAGATTTTGTCGTCCGGAGATCCAGATTTTTCCTTCATTCACTCATCAGTTGGTTCCCAGGTATCTCTTCACTCCATAGTCTGCTAGTTATGTGCACGGTGAATTGGTAGGTCAACAGAGACATTCTACTTCTACTTAATGCCAGTCTATCTTCGTTCTGCAAATAAAGGTATGCAAAAACTATGTTATTGTATAATCATTTACAATATAAGTTGATTTTCAGAGCAAAGTGCACAGTACAGATGGTTAGGCAACTTGACACCATGGCAAGGGGCTAAGGCACAATGGTGCTATGGCGTTACAAACTTCAAGGGTCAATTAACTAATTAAACGCAGTTAACTAATAATTATTTTTACCGATGGAAGGTGGGGGCACCTCTGCACCACATCTAACATAGAGTACCTAAATTACTTCTAAATATACTGTATACCACAAAAGTATACACTTGTCCCAGAAAGCCCCATGCTCTCCTTGTGGTACTGGTCTTTTCAGAACAAAGTGCAATGCTTCTAACGCAGGTGCAGAAAATTAATTTGTGCCTCTGTTGACTCTCCAGTGGAAGATACATACATGTAACATATTGGGCCTGTCTCAAACCCATGCAGGGTTCCAGATAAGTTTAAAATGCAAAGTGTCGATAGGAAATTGCAATGGGTCAGTAGATAAAATGTCACCAAATTATCAGAAGTTTACTACTTTTTTGCGGCGTCAGTTAGTTGACCTTGTCAGTGATCAAAGGCTCCTCCCTAATCTGGAACATCGCCTGTCCCTGACAAAACTGATTAGGTATCAGCCTGTCTGAGCTAAACATTAACGTATGGAAACACTGAGACAGACACTGAAAATACCGTTGAATACAAACACACAATACTCACGTCCCGTTCGCTGTTTATGTCTCGCACTGCTGGTCTGCGGTGGAGCTGTTCCTGGCATTGCTGTTGCTCCTGCACTCATAGGAACAGCAGAGGGCTGTGAAGCACTCTTTTTCAGCAGTGTCCAGTCAAATGTGTAATCGTATTGGTGGTTTAATGTCCTGAAGAGAATTCTGTACAACTGGCGAAGGTACATGTAGTCTGGTGTTTCGTCAAATCTCAATCCTCTGCAGTAGTTTAAGTACATGGCAAACTCTGCTGGGTAACCCTAAAGAAATGCCATCATCAATCACTGTACAACTATGACACATTATCGTGATGCATAGGTACAATTAATTCTAGCATTAGACACAAATATCTTGTAGGACCTGATGCTGATTAATCACAACAACTCACAAAAGCACCACAAAAGAACCCGTGAAACAGCTCCATGGAAAAATACAACTGCAGGGGCTTCATTAAAATTTTCAGCGGCAGGTAACTGATTTCCACAGATGGGAAAATCTGAACTTCTTTATAGGAAAATACTGAACTTCTTTATAAGAAAAATGTTCTTCTAGAGGGTCAAACCAGGCAGGCCAAGTCATCCTTACAGCTGTGGTCAATTTCCCCGCTGCCTGGCCCTTAATGAAACCCCTGCAACTGTAAAGGGTAATAAGACCCACACTAATTAAGCCAGTCTAATTAAGGTAATCAAGCCAGTCTATATCTACAATCCAAAAGTTTCCTACTATAGTGTAATAACTTACTAACGTCACCACCTAAAGTGGATTGCGCATTTTATGATTGTGCCTGTTTTATGAATTAAAGTGAGAACCATGGTAGGGCAAGGACTTTGTAGGTTTATTTATTTGTGCCCTCCAGTCAGTCCTGTTGAAGTTTGGTTTGATGGCGCACGGAAGACAAATCTGTAAATTTTGTGCTTTAAAGGTCTGAAACTTGCTAGAACTTGACATTACACAGTGAATTTGATTTCCTCAGTCTTGATAACCGGTCTGAAGTCTTTTCAATTTTAGTATTTCATCAAAGTCTATCACCTGAACATCTGGGCTAACAAAATCATGAAACTCACATGCTAGGCATTTCCTGCCGCACTTCTAGAGGACCAAGAAACGAATTATCTCTCAACAGGTCTTTTAATATCTTTTTTTTTAATCGGGCAGATAATGCCAAGAACATTGCCATTGTGACATGCATACATGATCAACTACAGTAGGTCCCATGATGGATATAGAAAAAAAATTCTTCTGTTTTCAGAGTAAGCAAAGCAGAAAGGAGAAGTTGTTTCTATTACATTTACAGTTGTGCTCACTAGCAAGCTCAAAAAAATCAGACAAAGCAACTTACTTTACAGAGAACTTCAACGGGTGTGGACATCTTCTTTTCGCTGATCCTCTCGTATTTTTGTTTTTTGGTTGCAGCCTGTAATATAACATACGTTTTGGTAAATAACTGGTAAATTTATAAATGTAAACAAAGATTCCCCTATGAACAGAGATATCTTCCCTCATCAAAGACGCACCTTACTGTTACAGTAAGCTACAATTTTTTGACACAATAATAATAAGTTTTTCATTCAACTTATTCATTCATTCATGACTCCATGGTAAGGGATCCTCTTTGCTTAAATTCTCTCAAAACGAATAAGTGCACTACAAACTACAAAATGATAGCAACTAACGCAACCTTGAGTCCTTGCCAGGGAAGACTGGTCCTTGTGAAGTACATTAACACATATCCTAATGACTCCATATCATCTCGACGCCTGGTCAAGGAAAGAAAGTACAACAAATTCTGGTAAATTTCAGTAACAACAATGCATTTTTGAAAATGTGCAGGTAAGTAAATCAAAATAGACTTTCTGAGACAGGCAGCAACTTTTACAAATCAGCCTATAACAATCTTTCACACAAAGAACCAAACATTGACCTTAGGTCACCAACAATTGGTAGTGAAGTGTTTTTGTACCAAGTGAAATACATTTTAGGAAGTAATATTTGGCAAAGTTCAGTGTGATTTATAGAAGTTACTTTGCCCATTAAGCCTCCTTCTTATTTCAGAGATTCATTTCCGCTACTCTCTAGAATAAGGGCAAGGGTGACTTTTAATCAAACACATTCCCATATTAGAGGAGTGGTACATTACCACGGAAATGGCAGAGTACATGTAGTGTCCAATAAAAATTGGATGATCTAGATTTGACTGTTCTTATGTTACATGAAAACTGCACCCTCGCTAGCCAAAAAAGACTGAGTAATTTTTCATTGTGCATACATGTCTCATTAACTAATTAATACAAATTACATGTAGGCAGAAAACAATATAACTCAGACAGTTTGCTGCCTGTTAAGTGCTTAGAGTAAATTGACTAACACTATCTACATCTATAATAAAGTAGAACTACAATGTATGAACTCACGATTGCTCTATTCCAAGATGGGCATTTATGCTGGCGTATCTGGCTGTGCCAGTAAGATTCTTGTCTTCCCTGTATGGTATGTGCTGTTTTGTTCTACTGTCACGAAATTTCTTTGCCAATCCAAAGTCGATAATGTAGAGCTGTCATTAAACAAACGATAGAAAAAAATAACATAAGACCACGGGATATAGAATGCACAATCCAGTTGAAGAACTACACCTGGAACAAGATAAAATGCCTGGCTGGGGACAGAGGGGACTGGAGGAGTTTAGTCAGTGGACCATGCTCCAAAATGGGGTGGATAGGCTTCAGATCAGATCTGATCTTAAAGGTCTTTGGGAAATAACACAACAAAGAAATCAATATGTAATTTACCTTGTTACAGCTTTTACTGATACCCATGAGAAAGTTATCTGGTTTAATGTCTCGATGAATGAAATTCTTGTTGTGGAAATATTCAATTCGGCCTATCATCTGGAAAGGAAGTCATAATGAACACAAGTTAGTCTTCATATTCAGCAACAAAATCTAACACATACTAAGAGACTAAGCAGGGTTGTCATTACATTTCAGCAATGTAAATAATTATCACTATTTTCAAGCTTAATTATTATGGCATATTTTGGTCATTTCACAAAACACACTGAGTTGCCAGTCACTGTCATTGCAGTTGTAGCCGCTTAATGTCGCTATTTTTAGGAGTTTAACAGAACAAACTGGAAAATGGTAATGAGAGGGTCATAAAATAAAGGATTTAAATTAACCAATAGCAGAACAACCGCTAAAAATCTGATAAAAATATGTTGCCATGGGTTAAAATTTATTTCAGGTCGTTTTGGTTGCTGTTGCAACCTTCTTCAGTGAAAAAAAAATGTAAATAAGCAACGGCATCCCTGATGTTAGAGGAATAAAAAAGAAAAAAAACGTATAACAAATGTGTTAATGAAGGTTCTATGGAAAAGGGTTTGGAATTCAAAATGAGAGTAAAACAATAGCATAATAATTACAAAACACTTTGGAATTTTTCAAAGTAATCAAATGATCATCAAATTGGAAACAAAGACTCTTCCTTGAAGCATGGCATTCTGTCCGAGATAAAAACTCAAGTAATGAAGTTCAACACATTTCATTCCCACATACGCATGTATAGAAAACTTATTGTCTTCACATGATTCCACATTGCCTTAAAGCATGTTTGTATTTCTAATAAATAAATTGACATTTGTACTGAGCCTCGTACTAACTCCTGAAAACCCCAATTAAGCAGGCAACCCCTATATAGTGGTCACCTCCCATTTCATGTTAAAGATTGTCTGATGAAATGATATCACATATATTTGGTCACTTGCTTTCAACATGATAATGTTAATAAACTAGACGCTCTAAGAGCATTTAATTGGGCTTTGTAACATAATGTCAAGTTGTACTTTAACCCATTGACTCCCATGCCGCCCGTAACCACCCATGACGAGCCTTGCCCTTTGTTCCACTTCTGACGTCATCAGCTTTGACCAAAGTTGGCATCGTCTATACTCAACTTCTGCAGGTGGAAAAGATCTTTCCAGTGATACCCAGATCAGAATGATTGGCTCAATGGAGCCTGAAATATGCACAAAAATGCTCAGAAATTTGAGTGAAAAACTCAGAGCAAAATTCGTGCGACTACACGTGGCTACTCCAGGGTAAAAATTGCCTGTCTTGATGATGCTTTCTCAGACTTTTTTGAACTGGAAGCAAGCCCAGTAGAAGGTCAATCACTTCAGCAAAAAGATAAGAAAAGGACACAAAGGAAAGGCAAAAAAAAAAAAAAAATTAAAAAAAGAAAACAAAAGCTAAAGACGTAGGTCACTTTCTCATCCCAAAACTTTGATTTCTGCGCGTGCCTGAGCAAACATGATTGTCATAAAATGCGATGCTAGTGGAAAGAAAAGCAAATGCCTTTTTGAGTAGATTGGAGCTAATTTGGCCCATATCCAGCCTGAAAATCTCCAAAATGTCCAAAAAATGCATTTTTGGCATACAGTTCTGGGAGTCAATGGGTTAAAAGTAAGCTTATTAACCACAGTAAACATAGGCACACAAGGCGTGCAAGAGTTATTTTTTTGTGAATTAAAATCCCCCGGAGTAGCAGCACTCAGTGAACTCTAATAACAGTTATGACTAGTAGTAATCAAAGATTATGAGTGCGTTTGTCTTCACCGCGGCCGCTTAATAGAGGTGGCCGCTGAATAGAGGTTTATATTACAGTGTATAGCTGGCAATTTTTTTCCGGGATCCAAATAAAAGTTGACTGCTTAGTAGGGGCCGCTTAATAAAGGTTCGGCTGTAGTTTGATTTCCTTGCTTTATTATTGACATGTTGCATCATGGCTCCATTTTCGGTAAGTCACAAGTTTAATAGAACATTTGCCTCCAAAATCCATGCTAAAATCTCAGTTTACTTGCAATTTTTAAACATAAAGGATAATTTTTAAAAGTACACTTGTGTTACCGGTACATCTAGTATTCTGAGCTAGAAGCACAAATGTCAGCTAGCACTTGCACTCACATGCCGGTTTATCTGTGTTTTATCATAAACAAACTCTGTGCAACTGGCAACTGTTTAGAATATTTCTGCTGATGAATAGAAATAGTCAGCATTTACATTGCTGTTCTGGCTTACTCTTATAGATCTTGGCTTCAGAGTACTCTTCCATCGATTCAATTTTGAGTGACGTTGAATACTGCACTATTTTTGGCCACTGGAACTAAGTAATTAAAGTCAACAAAATGTACTCAAAATATAGCCAATGAAATATAGCTGTTCCCATGGTTAACATCCCAAAGCCAAGGCGATTCTTACTTGATTCTCTTGCTTACACATGCTTTGCGATGATGTAATGTTCAGTTCCAGAAAATATCCATACTCCCCCCACAAAGGGATTTAAATTTCCTGGGGGTGGAGGGTTCTCTAAGACCAAAAAATTTAAAGAAATGTATAAAGCTCAATTGGAATTTCCAGAGGGGTGGGGGGACTTAGAAAAATTCCCTTCTGTGGGGGAGCTATGGATATTTTCTGGAACTACACAATTTGTTTTCACCTGGCCAAAAAATATCATCGTAGTCTGCATTGAGACTGCATTCCCTTTTTTGTCGAAAGTAATCAGAGAAAAAACCAGTTCAAAGAAGACTCCAAAATGTCAAAAACAACAAAAGATGCCACAAAAAAGAACAAGAATGACGCAGCAGATGGACACGAAATGTACATCGACATGAAATGTACAGCACATGGTTTGGCGATGATGTCATTCGTTTTTGCCCCTCCTAGTGGGGCGGCCAAATTGGTGTTGCAAGACTGTACAAAGGTGAACCGTCCCATGAAACTTGACTCAAGTCTGCATTAGGACTGTGTTCTACAAACACAATAAGGTTGATCTAACAAGTTTGTTTGGTTATGATGTATAGCGAACAAAAAAAAAGAACTTGTTTCACCTTACAAACTATGATATCAAGCTTACATTACATTTATCAATGTTTGGCTTTAACAGTCAATCAGTGGCTTTGTTTATTAGAACTACATGGAACTGTTCCCAACCAGACAGCTAAACATCATGGAGTTTGTAATAGTAGCTAATGGTAGATGGCAGATTGGTGTTGATTCTGGATAACGTTTCTGACTCATTCTATAACAAGAACCAATTTAATTATCGCATCGCAACGCAATAGCATGGTCTTACTCTGTTGCCAGCAATGATCATAGTTTTTTCAGTTTGATATTCCACAAAACCACTTCAAATTAATATTGATTTCAAAACCCATTTAAACGAGAAGACAATACTGCAGGTGAACAGCGTTACGTAATTTGAGACCTGAAACAACCAGACACATGAAAAACTGTATATCAGATGCCATGAAATGGGTGATTCCAGAAAATATCCATACCATACCATGGTTGGCATCTTAAAATTCTGAGGGAGAGGGGGGTTTCTTGGGCTGGAATTCTGAAGACATGGGGGGTAACACAGTTTGGAATTCCAAATGCATGGGGGGTTTCAGCACTGAAGCTTTGCTTGAAATTGCTGATCTGATAACTTTTCCAGTTTGTAAATCATCAAGCACGAACTGACCGCTGAAGCAGGATAAAGATTGATCAGGCAGATGCTAATGATCACACAGAAAAGTGAGCAGATGGATTGTACAGGGAGCTCCACATCGAAGAGGCCTTAAAGTTGATGAATTAGTCAATAGATTAATAAAATATAAAACAAGTCTGTGTTTCTTTCCGATCTAAAATTGTCGATCTGTGCGAAAACTCGCACCAGTCTCTCATTTCCAAATGGAACGCCTGACAGATTTTAGGCTGCATTACTAGTGGTCAGCAGTTCCTCAATGAATGCAATTTTCAATATGGCAGGAGACGGCACACCGTGAACTTCACTTTTGTCTTCCACTGGTATCAATATGATCTACTCTCCTGAAAATATGAAGCTAATGAACTGAAAACCAAAAGTTTTAATTGGTGGTAAGCAACTTCAAGATAACACTTCGAAGGGAAAGCTATGGTGTACTTTATTAAACATTAACAAACTTGAGTTGCTTGTTTGCTTGACTGAAACTTGTAAGCAGAATTTTCTTGGAGGGGGAAAAAGTGTAAGTTTCCCGTTGTGTGGAAGTTTTAGGCGGTCAAACAGGAATTCCAAAGGGTCTGAAAAAAAAAATCGGAAATTCTGAAGGGGTCGAGGGGTTAATAACTATTTTGGAATTCGCAGGGTATGGGGGGGGGGGGGTAGAGCATTTTGGAATTTCTGAAGGCAAGGGGGGGTTAAAATGTTCATGCTGCCCATGGTAGGGTATGGATATTTTCTGGAACCACCCAATCTCCAGAATTAAGGAAGTTTCCTTGTCGCATTCCCCTTCTAAATGCCTGAGAGCCTTATTGGAAGTCAGTTACAGAAAAAGTTTTGTTACTTTAAGAGAGACATAAGTTTACCTCTTTGAAGCGTGCAAGGAATCTTATCTGTGTCAAGGCAAAAGAACCACTAATGTTGCCTCAAAGTCTAATCTAATTAATTTGTGGTTTAACTTGCCATCATGAAGTCTTTGAATAATTATTTGAAGAGTTTACCTGCCACAAATCTCTGTTAAAAATTCCAATTTTAGAGAATTGCCATTAATGCAAGATATTAAAATACCGCCGCAGACTCTAACAAAAAAAGATGTCCAAATATTTATAGCAAGTTAAAGTTTCTGGACATGCCACTAAATTGGCTCCTTGTTTGTTTATTCTGACCATGTGAACAAGAGTCACTGATTTGTCAGTTTTAAGTGCAACCACTGCTGCGTGAAAAACAAAAGTGTCAAGTTACCATTTGAAACTAACAAATAAAAATATCTTGTTACATTTTCCTGCAACAAAACTAGTTGCACCTCAAGGTAATGTTTTTGCTGGTTTCAGTGATTTCTGTTCATATTTCCACAGTAGAAATCAATATTCAAAAACACCTTTTCTCAAAAAAAGATATGTTGCATCATAGTTTCAATTCCCCTGATTGTAATCCTGCGTGAAACAACGCAAAGTGATACTAGTTTCTCCGCCACCTTGCCGAAGTGTGTTTAGCTAATGTCAACAAGTATCGGCATGTCCGAACTAGCAAGTGGCAACTGGATTGGTTGTTTATAGAAGCTTTAATCTGATTGGTCTGAGACATACATTGGTCCACCCAAAAACCAAAAACCATTCAATACAGTCATACACCTGACATGCTGACTAAAACATATTTTTTAACAAAAAAATAACTAAAAAAAAAAACTAATAAATGAATCAGCCTAGGATATTTCAAACCAAGAGTTACACTCAGATATTTACTGCTCAAGTTGCTTTGTTAAATAATTATCCTCTTTATCCAATTTCTTGTTGTTTGCCTCATCTTCGAAGTTCTATTTACAATGCTTCTTGATTTTTTCAACATCCAAGGTGTTCACCTCAGCATCATAGTTTGTTTAGAAATCAGTAGTCACAGGTTTTTTTTCAGTTTTTTTGTAGTTTGAACTCGTATGTACATGGCTCATTTGTTATCTTGGGAGAATGAGCCTGAACTTTGTTTATTGGCAGGCTTTTAAGCAATATCATTCGTAGACCGACCCGACCGACATCTTTGTATGACGTGAGATGAATGTATAAGGCGTGATTCTTTCCAAGACTTGCATCACAAAACATAGCATTCTATACGTTACAATGTTCATGAAGCTAGAGTGACCACACTATAAAGAAAGCTGTTGCAATCCATGCTCTGCTCTAGGAATGCCTGGGACCATGACCCCCTTTTGGCAACCAAGACAAAACAACCTGCATTTTATGACTCAGCTTTCCTACGGAGACCCAAGTAATTAAAATACTGATCTTGCAAGGTATTTGTTTTGTTTTCTAATAATAATTAAAAACACAGTTAATAATCACCTTTAGCGCTAAGTAAACACTGTCCTATTAATTTTATTTATTAGAATTTTGGCTCAGAGACAAAAAAAAAAACACAATATTTTTTATAATAGTCTAGCATGTTTCTCATGGTTAGAACTTCTCCATGGCAACCTTCACATAACTCTCACCTGATCAGCTAACATGAGCACAGTTTTCATTGTGAACTTTCTTGAGCAGAAATTGAAAAGATCTTCTAAGCTGGGTCCTAATAAGTCTATCACTAATACATTGTAATCTCTCTCTTGACCAAACCATCTGTTGACAAAACAGCACCACACTCAGAGACAAGTATGCATCATTACAGTCATCAAGAAGAAAGTACCTATAATTTGTTTTCATGAGATAGCAATAATTATTCCTATCCTTATTCCAATCCTTATTCTTAATACTGGCTAGCAAAGAGAAAGAAGAGAACTTTTCCCATGAGAACAACACAGTGACCCTGCCTAGGAAACATGTATAAAGCCAGACCTCTCAGTCTTGCATCCAGCATGTTAACCATTCTAAGTCACTTTTCCTTCCCCTAATAGTAAGCCCCACCTCTATCTCAGATACAGAGACCTCCAGTAACACGTACAACCATCTTTCCCGGGACCTCAAGAAAAACAAAGTAAGTTGCCCAGCCAAGAAATCAACCTTGTAACCAGAGGGAGACACCCTGGGAACAACGTTGGAAGGTAACATCCTTTTCGAGACTCAACATGTCGATAAAGACAGTCACGCAATAATTTTCCTCCCTTCATTTGATTTCTCTTGCATGGTATAACAGTTCATTTACTGCATAAACATCACTGTACAACAAACAAGTTGACATTTCATTATTTTGTACCATACATTTGATTGGCTGGATCTGAAAATGTTAGAATCTATTGTTTAAGTTCTGTCATCTGATTGGTTTTCATTGTCTAGGTGGCCCCGGTTTCAGTAAACACAATGTCAAGTTAACACTTGCCAAAAATGGCTCAATTCAGTGTTTTTGTATATCCATAGATCTGTGAAGTTGAAACATCCTTTAGCCTTTGACTGTGTTCAATGTAATGCATTGGTTGTATCATATTTTTCAGGGCACAGCCTTGAAATATTTTTTCTTGCCCTGAAAAGTTTTTATAACCCACCTACCAGCTCCACTATTCCTCTCCCCTTGTTCATAAAAAGAAAACACTTCTGAGAAAATGAATCCAGGGTTTGCTGTTTTGTGCTTTGCATTAAATTTGTATAATAATGCACTGCACATGCTATATACCATACCTAAATTTTGGAATACCAATTCCTCCTTGTAATATTTTATAGAGTTTAGACTCATACAGCAGTTGAGGATGTCTTGCTTTCTGAGACTCAAGCTTTACAGCTACTTCCTGTAAGATTAACAAACAGAAAATAGGCCACAGTTATTTCAATTTCTAGGGTGAGAAATTAACTTCCTGTATCAAAACATACCCCATGTCTGTGTAATGGATTTTAAACTAGAGTCAAAGTATGGTTCTATTTGTATTTATTTCACCTGTTTTAGTAATTATATCTTTGGGGTAGAATGCATATTACGATAAAAACACTGAGACCTCATGAAAACTCCTCAATCAGGCTTTTGGAGTTGAATGAACAAACAAAATAAAATAGGGATTGCAATCTTCAGAGACTGAGCTCTGTGTAAGAATGTTCATGGGTCTATAAATCTACATGCATTTTGTGTGGAGCATGTATAGATGATTGCAATTTCTGGATAAAGCAAATTCATTTATAACATATATAATTATTCTGGCATTTATACATGTATGACAGTCATGAAATACAGATTTTCTTTTGTTTTCTTTTCTTTTATATACGCTGGGCCAAATTTTATATCATTCATTAAATAATATTTCACACTTACAAGGACGCTAACATAGCGATGTTCTTTCAATAATTGAAGGTCAAAGTTGACTGAAATTAAAAATTACGAGACAAAAGAGCTGGCAGGAGATACAGGTAGGCACACTTTGATATTGCTCAATACAAACCTCGCCATTCGTAATATTTATTCCTTGGTAGATATCTCCAAATGAACCACTGCCTATTTTCCGCACCAATTTATATTTTCCTCCTACAATAAACTCAGAGCGAGCACTGCTAGGTTTCTGCATTTTAGAAACCCTAAAGATACTAGAACAAAACATAAAGAAATCGATAAGTACGCGCGAATTATTAATTTTTTTTAAGTAAATTACACAGACTAGAGAGATTTCTAAATAACATTACGTTTTAGAAAAATCACTCATCGTTTACATCGTCGGGTCGCTAAAAAAAAAAAAAATTAAATAGAATAACTGCTGTTTACCTTGAGATGTATGTACTTTTATAAAGCAATAATTATTTGACCTATAGTTTTGCCCTTTACGCGTTTTGAAATTGTCGGAGATAAAAGGGCCGAGAGAGCCATAACATTGCAACACAAAAGGAACCCGTTTGATACCATAAAATGTCTTTTTAAGTCTAAAAAGGTAAAAGAAGATCCCTAAAATCCTATTCGCGTCCTCTGAAGACCTTGTTTTGACATCTCCTGTTGTGGCTAATATTGTCATAAATTATTCAATCCATCTACATGGTCAGAACTAGAAACATACATAAATATATTTATACACATACATTTATAACCTTCTTGTGTCCATTCTCCAGAAAAAATTGCCAGTGACGCCTTTAGAATTTAAGACCCTTTCTTAAGATACAAATGGCACTAAGCAATAACTCCCAAGGAGACGCCATCCAAGTGCAATACAGTGAACTCCATTGAGTGAATCGTCTCTCGAAGAAGATTCATTAGAGAAATATTTGCCCTTTATAAACGAATTGTTTCTTACCTTAACAAGGAAATACAGAATGAAATATTCTCCTTGACATCGGCTTTATCTGGCAAAAGGTAAACAAGAACCGTGCTTCGCTCATAAACCACCAAAATCTGAGATTACATTCTTAATCTCCATACTTCATCGAACGTCCTCCATGTTTTTCCTTCCTTGCAGTAAGAAGTATTATGGGGTATGGCGTAACCAGGGGCAACAAAGTATAAGGTAATCGATATTTCCGTATCGACTAATATGGTCCAAAAAACAAGATGGCCGCTGCAACTGCTTCCAAGACCAGAGTCGTGTTATTGAGTTGTGGATCTTTTAATCCTATCACTTTCCTTCATCTGAGGATGTTTGGTAACGATAAGATTTTCAAAAATTCAATATTCCTCATTTACCACTTATTATGTTTGGCGTGTTTCCGGTCTCTTTCTTTAATGTCGATTAATTATGCTCAATTAAGCTTAAGTTTTACTTAGCTTCTGACATGATGTTTCTATTCTGAATGGTCATTTTAATTCTTTTGCAGAAATAGCTCGCGATGCTCTTCATAAAACAGGAATTTACACGGTGGTACAAGGAATATTTTCACCAGTAAACGATGCTTACAAGAAGAAGGTTATATAGCGAATCGCGCATATTTGATCATGAGTTCGTCTTCTGTCGAGCTGTCGACCATGTGTATTTGAATAACAACTAAATTATGCTTAAGCTAACTTTAAGTTGTTTGCATTTTCTTTGTTAAATATTTGCTCAAAACACTCCTGATTGCAGCTGGTTCCTGTTTCGGAAAAATAATCATTTGCAATTCAGAGAAATTAAGCTAAAATGCAAAGCAACATGCTGTGCACTAGCTGCATAACGTATGGGTCCTTTAATAGTTAGCCTTCCTTTTTATAGATCATATCAATTTATGCTTTAAAGAGTTGTCACAAAAATTTGCTAAATTATCTAGCTCTAAGCCTCATCTTTTTTAGTCCTCTCCCAGTAATGATTTCCTCACATGCGGGTGCCCCTGCCTAGTCAATTGACCCTTGGAGGGGGTGGGGTGGATGAACTTGAAGAGTGAAGGGGGTGATCATGTCATACCTTTTAGAGGTTGAATTTGGTGGTTTGGAATCACTTAGTGTGTTCAAAACTAACATGACCACCGTTAAAAGTGGTTCTTGTACCTTTTATAGGGTATGATATGTATGTACATAATCCTTTTCATTCTTAGATAGCAAGTAGCACATAGAGTGTAAGCCTGACTAAAATATAACAGGACTGACATACTAAAAACAATTGGAAGTTAGCTTTTAGGGCTGAAAATGATTTCCATGCCTTCAAAACAGGTTTCTGTTACCTTTTAAAACTTATTTTGATCATTTCAGTAAATTTTATTTGGAAGTCCCACCTTCCCCTTCCCTGCTGATAACTTGCAGTTGATTCAGTGCATACATCCCATGCTTTTAAAGACAACTTGCATTATCGGCATGACAGATAAGAGCATGGTTTACCTGTCAGGGTTGTTCATTGGAATATAGTTCACCCTTTAAAATATATAGATCTATACCTGTCTGCTCTGAATCTTATTATGTTCCACTTCTAGGACCTTGTTGAATCAAAGCACAGAGTTGAAATGTGTCAACTGGGAGTTGAAACATCAGAGTGGATTAGGTAAATAAGTCTGTTCTTCTAAATCCTTTATGACCAACTTACTGTTAACAGATCTGTGGTACTGGGTGTGTTCGTATTTTCTGATAATAATTCTTTTCTTTGGACAGCGTTGATAGCTGGGAAAGTAAACTAGATTGTTGGACAGAGACAGCCAAGGTTCTAGATCATATGACAGAGAATGCTGCTAATAAATTTACAGGTAATTATTTCTCAATATGTTGTCAGTAGTGATGGGATTCTGGGGGTGGGGGGATTCCCATGTGAAAAGGTCAGGAATACTTGTTGTATTGCTTAGTGGTATAAATCAAGGATTCTGGTTTCACTTAGGGTGTCCATGATGAAATGCCACTATTTTTAGCTGCCAAAGTATCTTTTAGGGTGCATTCAAAGAAACAGCAATTTAGAAAATGCTCTTATTTCTGTTTTTAGGCTTGATTTCTGCTGGTCTCTTGAGTTCGGTCTGCAAGCGTCGGCTCCCTTCCTGAACAGTGGCTGCTACAAGAGCCCTTCCGTTTTAAGTGGTATCTTTTAGGGGTCAAACAGAGCTTGAGCTATGCCCGGGTGGGTCTCCTTTAGGGGCTTAATTCAAATTTTCCGACAAGCTTCCTCAACCTTTTCACATGGGAGTCCCCCCAAGGGCTGGGATCAAGAAAGGGCAAGGTTCTGCTAGAGTGTAACATCTTATGATTGACCCACTGGAAAATCGGTTAGTATTAGTAGCTCTTGAAATGAGTTTGTTTGTTGTCTTTTTTTGTTATTGCATCATCACTTTAGGGTCTCTTTTCTTCTTGCTCCCTGGTGCAAGAGAGAGAGAGAGAGAGAGAGAGAGAGACCTAATAAGGTGGCTGCCTTGGGGGATTGGGGTGAGTTCAGTATGTGGCAGGACTACAGGAGAGGTGTAAATATGAGGGCCAAAGTTACATATCCCCGCTGAACAAGACATATTTTTTAATGACTTGATGTAGAGAGGGAAGTGAGAACTTACAACCCTCACCCCTAGAATCCACACAATAATAATTATTATAAATTCACCTCAGTCAGTCAGATTTTTTAAAAGAATGTACATATGCACTGTGGTTGGTTAATGAATACTGGAACTCTTGTAAAACTTGGTCAAAATAATGTGCATGTGTACAAATAAAAAATTAATGTAATTTACTTTGGTACATCTGTTTTGCCTATTAGGTTCTAGTCCTTTAGTGGTAAAGTTACTTTGTGGTGCTGATCTTTTGGAGTCATTTGCTGTTCCAAATCTATGGAAAGATGAGGATGTAAGTTGCAAATAGCTTTTAGGTATACAAAGTCATGTAGCCAGTCTGTTTTGTTAAAACATTTTAAAATCACCCTTGATGATCACAAATTATTTGATGTGATGTCTTTAAGTTTGTGGAAAAGACTCTTATTCATGACAACTGTGAACATTATGAAGCCAACAGATCTCTTGAAACAGCATGTGAAAGTAGAACTGTTTCTGTCAGGTACTAGCTATAAAGCTGTAACTTACAGTCATGCACTATTTTTGACGATTTGATATGACTACAAATTAAAAGAATGACGACATGAAAAATGCTCTGCAAACAACTTGTAATTAACTGGCAAAAGTGTGACTAGTTACCACTATCATTTGATGAATCTACACCCATTTTCTATTCATGCACTTCTTTTACATGTAAGAATCCTTCCGTTATTAATACTATATTTTTTTGGATCACTGAGTGATGTTTGTACCTCTTGCTGTTTACAGATTGAGAAAATTGTTGGAAAACATGGTCTTGTTGTCATATCTCGAGTAGGCTCAAACCCAGAATCTTTCATCTATGAGTCAGATGTTCTTACTAAGCACAAAGTAAGTAGATGCTTAACATTTTTGTGGTTGAAAATTTCAATTTTGTTTGACTAAATTAAAAATACTATTTTGAAATATTATTATATTTAGTGCTGACCATTTTGCTTTGTGATGCCCTGCAGAATAACATTCACATTGTCACAGAGTGGATTTCAAATGATGTCAGTGCTACAAAGATCAGGTTCTGTTTTATATTCATTTATTACTATTAATATAGAATGAGAAGTTTTTTTTGCTGTGTGTAAAAATAAATTCATAAAAAAAAAAATCATATAATGTAAACATGGTTTTGCCCATCCTTTGGATAACCAGTTGGCCAGTCAAGCTGGTTTTGGTCATCACAAAATGTTCCTTCAAGTGGCATACTCAGTATGAGTGATAGCTTTGTAGGGAAATTTGCCCACCAAATCCACAAATCTATAATGTCAAGGGTGTTAGGGTTATTTTAATTACTCACATAAGACTGAACACACTCTGATGGTGTTCTACTTTTTGTTTGCTTTTTTCAGGAGAGCTATTAGAAGAGGTGAAAGTGTGAAGCATTTGGTTCCCGATCCTGTAATTGAGTACATAAAAAGAAATGAACTATATCTTCCAACAAAGTGATAAATAGTTTCAAGTTTAGAATGTTTTTTTTTTCTCAATAGGTTATTTTACAACATTGTCTAATTCCTTGTGCGCTGATTGGCTCATTTTTATCATCATTAAGAGGACAGGCAGATAAAATTTTAATTTCTACAAGCTTTCAAGTTCAACTTTCAAACTGTCAACTTTTTAACCAATGAGATTTTATGGACTTTTTTAGGCAGCCAATCAAAAAGCGAGAAAAGCTATTGACAATGTTTTATCTTTGTTTATGGCAAGTTTAGGGCATCTTTTCTCCTTATTTATTCCCGGCATTTGACCATGATGGGGTCTTGTTATTGTAAAAACAAATTGACATCAGTGTTTCGTCTGTCCTCTTGTTGATGATAATTTATTGCGTCATTACATTGTCCAAGTTTACTACCGAACCACTTGCCTGTAGCTCGCAGTTCTACAGCCACTTTAACAATGTTGTGACGCAATTTGTCATCAATAAGAGCACAGACCCATAAAAAACTGACATCAATTTGTCAATCATACACTGTATTCCAATCAACTTGCCTGCAGTGTCTTTCAGCTATTATTTTGTCTAGTGCCCTCCTTCCAGCTCCATTACCAAAGCTGAATGAAAAAAAAAACTATTTTGATCAACATGTGCAGGCTCTCTAGCTTGTTTCGAAATGTGCCCCTCCTATTACAAGTCTATCTAGAAGCCCTTATGAAGACTGTTGTATAAGCCCAGGGCTTACAAGTGGCAGGTACACCAATTATATATTTAAACTACTTTCTCATCTCAATGTAATGTGAACATACTTGGAATCAATGGTGTTATGATTATTTTCACTGACCATGCAAACACCCGATGTTTCAGTTCTTGCATTACACTGAGTTTTTATTGTCATTCACTGACAGCTATTAAAAGTAAATTGGCACCCAGAGCAATAAATAGAATCATTAGAACAGTGGTCATTTTATGATCTGTGTAGGTCAATATGGGAGGTCTCTTCACTGACAAGGTCAAGATTCTTCTAAATAGACCGCATGAGTTGAGAAACAAGATATTTATTGCCCCAATAATAAGGGTAAAAGAAAATGCTAACAGAAGAAACAGCATGTTGAATGTATTTGTGTGGATGAACACTTGACAAAGTATATAAACAAAAATTAATAGCAACATTTTACTTTTAAAGTAATAAAGTGATACTTTCTAAGCTTAATCACTTAATTAAAAGGGCTAGGTCACCTAATTTTAGGCAATTTCAGCTCTTACCTACTGGTTATTGTAATTTCTAACTGCAATATTTTTGTAAATTAGGTATGAAGATCCTATTAAATCTTATTGTATTGTCATGAAGTCAAGTGAAATGTCACAGTAACACAGTATGCCTTAAAACTTTAGAATTTAAAAAAAAAACACACAGGAAAGCCAGACATGGGAATGGCAAACTTGAAGATTAAAACAGATTACATTAGAGTGAGCTTGAAAAACAGCAGCCCTTCTTTTCAAAAGTTTATGTATCAAAGTGTCATCTATCATCAAGGCTTGACAAAAGTGTCGTCCAGTTGACCAGGACAAGTAGATTTTTCTACCAGGCAAGTAACTTTCTATTCTCACTTGCCAGCTGGGCAAGGCTCAGTGACAACTACATTAAAAATAGTAAACTAAGACTTGCCGCTGGGCAACCAAAATTTGAGAGGTACTTGTCCGAAGGTCAAGTTGGAAGGAATTCAAGTTTTTTTCTAAGCCCTGAATTAATGCTCAGAAGTAACCACTTCCAGACATTCAATGAATGCCTCAGAAGACATCCCATTCCATGATTGATTAAATGACTGAGATTTTGTGGATAAAACTAAATATAATTACCCTAAAAATACTGTGACCTAGTCCCTTTAAGACATATTAACAGATGATTCATTTTATGAAAAACCCTTTCCCTCCAAATAATTAAGAGTGAAAAATGCTGTTAAAATTCCACTCACATACAACAATATCCCATGCAAGTACCGGGTACAGCTCAGTAGCATTCATTTGATTGGTTGCACTTTATGAACTAAAAACAGAACCACATAATGACTCAAGTATTTATATTCACTGTACTAGCAATAAATAAAACTTATTTCTAATAAATTAATAATTTTATGTCTAACACTGTATGAAAAATACTGTTCAGTAATTCAAAAATAGAAATAAAGCCTTTTCCAGATATGTATCTCTGTACATCAACTGTGAACAAGTTATCATGATGATAACATAATAATAATAATTTTATGCTGCAATTTTTCTTGGTGAATATCAATATTATTGTGAAGAACTCTCTCTTCAACTTTCACCCAAATTCAAATGTTACAATACTTTGCGTTATTACTATTTCTGATGCAAAGAGACTTTTGATTGGCCACACTACCATCCAATGGACTCCACACACAGATGCTGGCCTTTGATTGGAGTACCACTTTTGCAGGACAAGTTTCTCAAGTGGTTGCACTTCCTGCAACAAATGTAGCAACTTGTGACACAGTGTGTTTGTCCATTACATTGTCTTATGATGTGTTACAAGGTTCTTAATAAATTAATGTTTCATGAAAATTAATCTGACTAATTGCTGGTTTCAGGAAAGCTGCACAAAAGACATTAAGTGGTATGTAAGAATAGCCCAATAAAGAAGGCAAGCTACTCTTTTAATCATTACCAGTTTTCTATATGAAGGTATAAAATGCCAAAAAGGAAACAAAGATGGTACAAAGACTGCCAAGGCAGACTGTGATGGGCTTTAAATAACAAACTTGAAAACTTCAGGACAACATTTTTCAAGTCACATGCAATGATAGAGCCTCGATAATTAGGTCCTACATGTAGACACTATCCTTTTGCAGTTATCTATACATGGTGTACATGAAACTGCTGTTTTCTGCAGAACTTGAAAGATATCCCAAAGAACTACTGTAGCTATCAGATAGAAATTTTTCAGAACCAAGTTCAGAAGACTCTGAATGAGTTGAAATGTTATCTGCTGATGTAATGTCCCAATTACAAGAGTTAAGCAATGTGCAATCCTCACTTAAACAGACATGACATAATTTGTCTTCCTCATTAGAATCCCCCAGTTCTTGTGAGGTTATCAGCTCTTCCACCGAGGCATGCTCTCCATACTTTCCTTCAAGAAAGCCATTGATTTCTTGTATTGGAAGCTGAGTTTGTAGGAATAAGTGAAGACCAGCAAACGAAAGAAAGTCATTGACTTTCACAATTCTGCAATACAAAACATTAAAATAATAATTAAAGCTTCAATGACCAGGAAAAATGCTTTTACCACACACTTTATGTCAAAATAAGAGAAAGATGGATGCAGATTTGTGCTTCTGCAGTGGCCTATATAGGACTTCTTTATAAGATAATTTCTTTCCCATTTGCTCTCTCATGCACATATAGCTTCAATATTGTAAAAACTCTAATGCTTAAGGACTGAAAAGAAGATGCTCATTTGTGTCAAACCTCAATTTGATTTCTTTTATGTTAGTCCCCTAGGCCTTAGAGCCATATTAATATTGATTACAGAAATTAATCTATTATTGCAGTTTTCACTTCAGTGTCAATAAGTAATTGGTAATTACATTGCTGCACTACTCAATTGGCTTAAAAAAACTTGCGCCACTTTTGCATCCAAAATCAGAAGTAAAACCAAAACCAACCATGACTCGCTCACACATGCTTTCCCAAACGTTGTGTAAGTCATATTACTTTACTTTGAGTTTTGATTGGTTCATTCAATTGTCTGTGTCCTTTGTGATTGGCCTGAGTGATAACTTTGGTTTGGTTTTGGTTTTAGGGCACTCAATTAAGAACCAATTTCAAGGGTAGGGGCCTTATTCATAACTTAATATCTAGTGCTGAGACCTTGTGCCTCCAAAAAGTGTTGAAGATCTCATCTGATAATTTATACTTTCACAAGTCATGAATTTGATAAAAAAAAATAGAGGGCAGACAATGAATTGGGGCTTCTTTTTTACTTTTTCAAAAAATGGTGTTGGTTGGGCAATACAAGACAAAACAATTTCATCAGGGTAGCCCCTTAAACATTTGGGTAAATAAATGTAACTACTGTAATATTGTTCAGGAACTGTCACCTATTCTGTTATCTTTAACACCTTGCTGAAAGGATATTGAAAGACTTGAAAACCTCATTCAGTGCTTGCTGTGATATTCAATGTCCAGTTCATTAAGGGTTTCAGATGATCTTTTGTTTCAGCTGTCTCACAACGTGATAATGAAAATTTGCAATAATTGTGCAAGGCTTTTTAATATCCAGAAATGACATCACGAACTTAACAAAAAGAAAACGTTGATAACTTTTTCGTTTCACTCTGCAATATCTGCTTTCCCCTGAATTTTTTTTCATAAGTGCAGTTCCATGGCATATAAGGGGTTTTGTCCTATAGCATTTGCCCCTTATAAGATTTCCTTAATACTTTGAATCATGCTGTTAAAATAACATCGCCAGCTTTTCTTATTCTCTTCTCTTCTCTTCTGTCAGCAGCAAGTGCAATTTAGTAACATTTCTGAATAGATGCAAAAATTTGCCTTTCCACTGAGATGAATCAATATTTGGGAATAATATTTAACATGTCTGAATCAGTCGGGTCAAATTTCACCACAACAATCTCATTGTAAATTAATTTTTCTGCAACATAGCACAAGTATCCAGGGTGTTGCTTGATTTTCTCAAAACAAATATGATACTCACTCATTTAAGAAATCCTGCAATCCCTCCTGTCTTGAATCGATCACTTCTTTATCAAATCTGCTAAAATAACTCTTTGGAGGTAGGCATGGAATATTCTGCTCCCTGATGAGACAAAACAAGTGATAGATAGGGGAATCAGTGACAAGCAATTTGCACGTGAAATGACAAGAATAAAAAATACATTATCTGTTCCAACAAAAAGAACTCTGCAAATAGTATTGATCTTACTGGCATTAAAGACATGCAACATTTCTGAGTTGATCAACTTTTCAACTCTTATGACCATGATACCTGGGATTGGAGGCAAACGTGTTGAGAGAATTTTATTATATACCTTCCAAATCCATTGATCTCTGTACTGGATAACTTTGTTCTAAGCCAGCAAAATTCCGAATATCTTCTCCTGACGCTGGAAAATTTTCTGAAGAAAGCCTTGTTGGTAGTCTGGAGAGAAAGAAGCAGTATGAGATCCAACAAGACTTACCTTGTTTATCCAAGAGAGGATTGCAAATTATTAAACATTTTAATTCGTGTCACTAAAAAATGCAATTCCTACCTCAATTGTGATCTCGTAGTCGACAAACTTGCTTCCTGAGCAAATATGAAGTTTAGGATTATTCACGTCCACTTTCACTATCTAGAAACATGTGTAACATAATACGAAATAAATCGATTAAACTTACGTTTCACAGCACAAGACAATCACAAGATTCTTTATCATATATAACGCTGTGTCTCTATGTCCGGCAGCCGGACAGGTTTTTCAAAAAAAATCGAGGCCCTAACAACTTGAATGCCACAGAACGACTGACAAATATAATTTTACTTTTGGATGTTTCGGCAAAAAGAGCTTTACAGACCTTAAACTAACATGCATACAGCTTCGCGTCTTCGCGGTCGATGGCCCGCGCGAAATGTGTAAGGACGTAATCATAACCATATCAGTTATCTTACAGAGAAACATACCTCAGAGTTCTTTTTAGGTGTAATCGTCATTTTATGGAAGTGCTTTCCCTTCTAGTAGGATTTAAGTTTAACTATAAAGAATCGTAGTTTCATTCCACAGAGAGCAATCGATTCTACGAAAGCTACCAAGCGGAACTACCGGTTAGCGCGGTTTGTTTTGGCTGACGCAAGCGGGCATACGTCAGGCACATGACTTGTCATGTGATTCAATGAACAGACGACCGAAGGTCAGTTTACACAACACTTGGAGCACGGTAACGCAACGCTTGACACAGGCTACCCAAGCTCTCAATGTTATCTTTTTTTTTCACTTTTATGCCAACGTTCAGCCTAACGTGACATATGGCATATACTATTATACAACGACCGAATTTTGACTACGCGAAACGTGACTCTGGCCCTGCAGCATATGGAGGTGTTGTGTTACAACGGTTTGAATTTATAAAGTTTCCACTTTCTAAAAAGAAAGTGGAAACCCACACAGAACGATAACTCGCCGAAATCCCGTTAGATCGGCCTGAGGAGCTGGCAAACAACAAGGAATACAACACAGCAACAGGGTAAGTAGATTTATTCACAAAATATAAGAATAATTGACTTTTCAAGCAAAGCCGTTGCATCAGTTCTCATACAAACCTGTATAAATTCAAACCGTTGTAACCCAGAGTTCTCCGCGCAAACACGGGTATCCGATTACTGGCAACTCATTCATACGGTCATTATTTAATAGTATATGCCATATGTCACGTGCACGTTAGGCTGAACGTTCACATAAGAATGAAAAAAAAGGGATAACATTAGGAGCTTGGGTAGCCTGTGCGCTTGATTCCTGAAACAGTGCGCTCACGTGAGTCTCAAGGCTATTAAAACACATAGGTCGCCTAAGGTCACGAGAGAGTAAGGATTGTTGTTGGACCATGTTGCGTATTTTTAAACATACGTAATGGAATTTTAGCGATTAGCTGCGATTGTTTTTTAGGAGTCAAATGAAAATAAAATACACCATAAATTCCTGAACGATGTGTTTCTTCAAGCTTTCGATCTTTAAGTCAAGTAATACCGCTGTTTGCAGCGTAAAATGATGTAACGCAACACGAGTACTCAGCAACACGTCGCACGTCACGCGTGGGCATTGCTAAAACAGCTCAAAACAAGGAGGCTCAACAGCAAATAGCAGGTGTTATTAAAATTTAAGGAATAAGAATTCAACAAGACGGTGATGTGAAAGAGTCGAACCAACCTGTGCAGTTCTCTTCCCTACGTTAGCTGTTGTCTTCTCATTTGACGATACTTCCTTCTGTTTCTTCGCAGGCATTTCTGTCCCAAGACAATTACAACATGTAATACAATTCGGAGGAAAAGAATGATCTTTGAAAGGGTTTACGCGTTCGACGCATTAATTCTCATATAAATTGACCAGCCGCATAAACTGAATCACTCGGCCAATGCCGTTTCTCAGAATTTATAAAACCAAAATCAAAAGGAGAACATTTGATCATTAGGGGGAGGGGGGATAGTCGTATACTTCGGTATTATACTTTTCAAAATTTCGCAATAGGCGGCACTAACCCTTTTCCCCCAAAATACACACACACAAAAATATGACTAAATAAAAAACTCCCGAGAAAAGGAATCAAAACTCTTGCATCAAACCAGAAATTACATGTAAAAGCCTGATATTTCAAAGATTAATAATATTATTAGTGCTAAAATACTGTTTACCCTTGGGGAGCACGGTATATATACCCAATATAACCCCTCCCCCTTTTTGCCGTACAACCAAAGCCCCTGGCCCCAAGGCCACCCTTGTCCGTGCAAACCTACATAACGTAATTACTATTTTCAGAAATGACAGATGTTCGGCAGGCTTTGGACTTCGAGTTGAAAAGTCTAAGTCGAACTCGAACTCAAGTCCAACCTCGATGTTTCAAAATTTTCGCGAAGGTCGATCACTAAACCTTGGTTCGCCCCTCTTTTATTTCTAGATAGCTTGAGCAGTGGACGGGAGTCGTCAGCGAAGGAATGATACACCGGTGCTTTAACAGGATCATGGATAACAAATAACTTTCGTTTTCCAGCCGAGGAACCTTATAGCGATCCACTTCCGTTATATCGCTTTTGTTAATGGCTCATTGCTTTAACCGTTTGAAAAGTGATGACCCAGATAACCAAATGTAATCAACAGGAAGTATTTAAGATTGCATTTTCCGAAATATTTTTGGCACAAGACGTAAATGTTGCCAAATGAACAAAAGGTATTCTATCAATCGTGAAGTATTAATAGACAACTTTTTTCAGGGGAGGGGGGAAATTATTGCGCTTTAAAACTACCCAAAATAACACCAACATAAATGTTATAAGCAGTTTCTAATGTAGCCCCTCCCCTACCTCAGTTTGTTTCAGCAGCGAAAAAGAAAACATAAATTAATTATAGTCGTGTTTATCCTAAATTAACCTGCCCAATTTTTTACGTAACTTAGAGAAAACATTGGCATCAGTAGTTTACGTGACATCTATTTTTCACGCATGACACGTGCACTGTCGTTTGCCAGTGTAATCATGTTTAGTAATATCAACATCTGTAGTTATTGTATGGTTGGACATATTTATTTGTGTTTGGACCAGAATTGTCATTCCAAGGCCATCACTGTAGTAATATTGAATTCAAGGAAATTAATAACATGACAGCCCGGGTACCAGGGTCTGAAACGAAAATTGATCAGCCCTGGGTCTCTGTCTATATAGTCTCGAACCAATCTTGCGTAATAGTGGTCATGGCGAAATTATAAGACTTTGTATTGGAATATTTATGATCGGTTTTTGAACACACAAATACTACAAAGCTCTTCATAAAAACGCCCTCTCTTTAATCCGCAATGCATTGCTTGTTGTCCGTTCGCTTTTTCCGCTGATTTGAAGCGATTTTAGCGAGCTACCGCTTCCTAATTTTCCTACTCCCCAGTAAGCGATAACTCGCTAAAATGGCCTCGTTTCTGTGAAGTAAGCGGTCATACAGCAAGCAATACACTGTGGAGTTAAGGTGAGGTATTTTTTATTGAGAACTTTATAGTATTTTTGCTACCTTTGAGCGATCATAAATATTCCCATACAAACTCTTATATTTCTCGATTTCCCACGACCGCTATTACGCAAGATGATCATCTCACAGCTGGTGCTTGGGGCGCCTATGGACGATACGACTACTTGGGTTACGTTACACAAAACGTTCGGCATTCATTTTGTCCGTTCTGTTAGTAACAAAACGAGGACGGAAGTTACCGATTCTTTTTCAGGGATGACAAGGTCTTTCATTCTCACAACCTCGCGACTCAAATTTGGTGGAATAAAGTACAGAGAAATTGAAATTCGACCATCGCTAAGGATGACAGGGTTACTGGTCCTCCTCATTGTGAGGACTGGTAGCCTTATGTGGCTAGTCCTGAATGAAAATGCTTCTACGAAGTAAGACGAAGAGGTTGAAGCACCACATGGAGGACGCATTTTCAACTCCATCGGCAAACATTGATAGTGCGGATGTCGATCGAATCGGGTTGACTGACCACGCAAGTCACGTGCCACGTTCTTACAGCTACTTTCCCAGTTTCCTTTTCTTTCTGTTCAGAGCGTTCGTTTCTGCTTGCTGATTGGATAACATATGCTCTATTTCCTTCACTTTACGCATGCGCTCTGCGTCCCTAGAAAATGAGAAAAGACAACATTTAATAACGGTTTTAAGTAGAGCGAATAGCTAGTCCGTGGGAAGGTAAAACTTGAACTTATTACACTGCTGCAGAGCTGATACACCAGCACTAAGAGGGTCCAACATAGGCCTTTAGAGCTGCACTTCTCCGCGTCAAGTCCGTAACGCGTGATTTTTTGTACTTCCTAACTGTCCCGCATCCCTTCTGTCAAAATGAGCAAATCCCGCTCCCGCCGAATTGTTTTTATCCCAGCGTCCCGCCTCTATTTTCACTCTCATCCCGCATCCCGCCAAACCTGTGCTGGGCCCTCCACTAACACATCGACAAAACGCAACATTTTCACTTACTTCTCTAACTGTTCTTTTAGCTTTTGTTTCGCGAGGAACTGGTTATCCTTTCTGATTTCTCGAAGAGCACCCTAGAGAGTCGCGAAAAGACAAAACTCAACTGAAATACTTGTAGTATAAACCCAAGGGCTTCTACAATTGAAAATACTGTATACAAATGTCATAGTCTTTTTCAAAGTCCTTGGTTGCTGGTTAGCCTAATCTAGGTGGGGGGTGGGGGGGGGGGAACTCCCATATAAAAAGGACTGTTTCATTTGAAAGAGCACTTCTAAAATAGCGTATTCTGGAGCTTGCTGTCAAGAGATGTATCACAACCTATCCCACATTCATAAGACAAGCTCTAGGATTTCTGTCGCACAGCAATAACGAGATGAGTTGGGTGAAGAAACAAGACACCTCCTGCCTACTGTGCACAACGCTGATTTGTCTTAAACTTGCCTTATACCCGGGGGAACTCCCATATAATAATAATGGGAAAAGGACGGGGATGCTCGTCGGAAATTTTGAAAAGAACTCCTAAGAGGTACCAAGGTCCTGTTTTGTGGGCGTGGGTTATTTTTCACCCCTAAGAGGTACCAATATTCTAAAAACAACACATTACCTCCTGTCAATTTTTTTCGGCTCAATATCCTAAAAGGTAAAGCAAAAGCTCCCGCTGTGTACCTTTTGAGGCTAAACACCTATAACAGCTACCAAAACCGCGTTTTTGACCCCTAAAAGGTACGACGAACACCCCCGTCCTTTTTATATGACAGTCACTCCCCCCGGGAGGTCCCTAGCTAATGTTCCTCTACCTCGCACTCTCCGCATTCGGATTTTGAGCGACACGAACATTTTTCTCTTTCCGTGCTCGGCTTTCACAGCCCGACCTGAATTGAATTGATAACCTTATTTTGACACGGTAAAAATTCCTTCAGCACAGTTTTTATATGGGAGTCCCATATCAAAACCATTTGTGGGCAAATTTAGCAAATAAACACACAGGATAAAAAGCAGAATTAGATTGAAACTGATAAAACGCGCGCCTTAATTCACAGTTCTTAATTACAAACAGAGATAAAGTGATACCTTGAATTCCTTCTTGTACTTGTATCTTAGTTTCTGCCTTTCGTTCGCTGTTTTATTTCCCGTTCCTCTCCTTGATCGGACTTCATAACTTAAAATAAACACAACAAACACAAACATTTAAAATTGACAAAGTGAATCTGTGTGTGCCATGCCTTTAACTACGAAAAGCAGTACAGTAACAAAACACAGTGCTTAGCGTAACATGTACAAGGTTATCAGTCGTATTACGCCCCCTGGGGGTACTCCACAAAGTTTTGTACCGGGAGGCTCTGCTCCGAGCACCAACCCCTTACCCTTTTGTATACCATTTTTACAGAAAAGGAAACCATTTGGTGTACCTTTTATAGAAAAAAAAGTACTTCTTTCACATACTTACTTAAGAACACTGCATCCCTTTCCTAAACCCTTGGAAAGAAGTCAATGAACAACACTATGGGAGAACATCAAGTATTACCAGAAGAGATGTTAACCAAAAGTACAAGTGTCATTTACTCAGTTTCCGTTCACGTTATACATAAATGACAGATTTCCCTATACCTTTACATATACCTCAACTTGTAACATCACATTCACAACCTTTTCATAGACATATAGCCTGAAAAAGGCACCCCTTTCGGGTAGAGCCTATCCGCATAGGCCGCTATTGGGATCACTTCCCGGATTACATCCCAGATTTTTCGACTGTGAGTTGCCGTTACTCATTCCTACTATCTGGTAACTATCGTTCTTCAAACCATTACTTTTTAGAATCAAGCTGGAAGAAACAGAAACTATTGTAGAACTCACTGATCTTCAAACTTGGGTTCAAATGTCTTGATAGCTTCCGGTCTGCGTGCTTGCAACGTGAGATGTTTTCGAGTCAAGCTCTTGTCATGGAGATCATTTATTGTCGTCAGAAGACCACTGTGAAGTTCCTAATGCAGAGAAAGATGTAATGTAGGAGTTAATCCCAAGAGCGTGACATGACCCTAGCCTGAGGAAGGTTAAGAACGATCTAGGCTTCTAGTTCGAGTTTCGAAAGTGTAAAACAGTGACGAAAATACAACACAAATACAACACAAATACTGTACAGCTTGTGGACATCATTACCTTAACAGAAGCAGGATAAAGTTCCACCGGTATTCTGTAGAATAACAGAAATTAAGATCAGTACAAAGCAAATTAAAAGGTCTTGCACCACTCACTACTAGAATTTACAGGAAAAACACCCATTGCACAGGAAAAACAGCTGTCGTTATTAGAAGGATTAGTGAATGACTGTTTGTGTGGTTAAGTCCATAAATCCGCTTAATTTTTGAAAGGGAAATCCCGGGGAACACCTTTGAAAGTTTTCGGACGTTTAATTTTCGGACAAAAATTTCGGACACTTTGCTGAAACATACCTAAAGAGCCTGCATAGCAAGCGTTCCCGTACGAAGAACTTTTCCGCATTCTGGCCGCGCGTCAATTGGAGCCAGAACAAAAAAATCCACGAAGCAGGGGGTGGTGAGGCGACCGATATTTTCTAATGCGTCTAAGATCACTCGCAGAAAAGATTTGATCATGCTGATAATTCTATTTTATTAAATCTACCAGCGTTCTATCACGAGTGCCACTCTCTGATTGGCTATGCTACTCACAACCTATTCTGTTGTAGAGAGCTAGAAGCCTAACAGTGTGCGCTTGTTAACAAACAGGCGGCCGCTTCTTCGCGTTTTCGAAGTGTGAAAAGGTGTTAGATAAAGTTTTGAACGACGAGCAGACTTTTACTAAAACAATTAGATTATTCGCTCTCATTTACTATGCGTGACAGTTGACGAGGGCGCAGCCCTCGTCAACTATAACGCGATAGAAATCTTGAGCTCATAATCTAATTGTTGAGTGTGTAATTTTGAGGTACATTTTGCTCCTTGCAAGTTCTATGTTGGATCTGGTCAACGGTCAACCCCAATGCGTACCTTTGTAAATGTTCTTTCACTGGAGCAAAAACCTCAAAACTAGCCGGCACGTCTTGGTACAAGTGAACAAATCGGTCCAAGGTAGAAAGGCAATGGCTTAGAGAGTCAACCCTGCAAAAAAAGGAAACGAAACAGTTTTATGACAGTATAATACATGACTTTTGCATCAGTTTTTATTTTTTACACATTATTTACCTTATTTCGTCACTCGTCAGTTCATCTTGTGTGCTCTCTCCGAGGGTCGTTGTCAGCGGTAAAGGTTTGACAGTAACAGGGCTGAAAAGGTTAAGTCAAAACTAAGCACAAGAAACTATGGAGAAAGACTGTGTCGAGAGAGGTAAGCTAAATGTTTGGGTGAACAACTATACGGACAAAAATCATCCTTGTTTTCTTAGTGGGGGTGTGCGGACCAAATCTTAAAACCTGGACCCTATTTCAGACCAAAATCTGCGTTTTTCCATACCCTGTTTAAGACCTGAGCGAAAAATCGATATTCCATTTCAGACCTCTAAAATTAGCACATGGCTCTAATGTATGACCGCAGCTAACCAGAATTGACTTCAATTTGCGTAGACATTTGAGAAGGGCTACAAAAGTTTGTCGATGGTGATGCGGGAAAAAATAGTTCCTTGTAAACAAAATACGCTATGCCAAGCCAGAGTGAAAAACATACCCTATTTCAGGCCAAAATGGTCGAAATCTATGTCCTTTTTCAGACCAAAACCACACCCTTTGAGGCCTCACAGTACAGCCCCTCCCGGTATCAATTATACCCAAAAAGGCAAAGCTGATGCAAGAGGAAGTTTGGAATTGAAATTGCTGTGCTAGCCTCAGGCGAAAGCTATGCAAACTATTCTATGGCCTTCACTGAAGCATCAGCCAAGTTGTACAACCACTGCTTTTACTACTCGTTGAGACTGGTTGACCTTGCTTTAGTGAGTCAAAGACTTGCCAAACAAAACATGAAGTTTCAAGTTCCAGTAACTGATTCTCGCTTGAAAACAACGACAGATATTGTTGCGTTAAATCTTCTGGACTTCTACGTCTTCCACTACTACTCCTTCTTCTACTTCAACTTCTACTTAGACTTCTACTCAATACAACTTTAAAATCCACTAACTTTTATGCTAACTCTAGTTACGCCTGGGACTCAAGCCAAGGGTAAACCAGGTGGTACAAAAAAAAAAAAAAAAAAAAAA